GGGGGGGAGAGGGAGGGAGGGAGGGAGGAAGAGAGAGAGTTTTGAAGGACTCAATGAACTTGAATGGTAAAAAAAATATAAGTTTATCTTCACTAACTGAAATTTAATTTTTCACTCATTGATTATTGTAAGCATGAATGTATGGTCAAACTTCAACCATGTTCATTAACTTAGTATAATATTAAATGGTTATTAATTTAATTCATTAATTAATAATAAAACTATTATATTGATATCTTTTAATGTTTTGATAACTATTTGAGAGTAATTGGCTTCCTTTGTAATGCAATTGATATTGCAACACACACACACACACACACACACACACACACACACACACACATACATTTAGGTTCTTTTTCTGAGAAAGGAGATATAGGATTCACCATTCTCTCAAAAAAGTCCATGTTACAAAAAGATTAAAAACTCCTGCTCTAAATATGAAAAAAGTCATCTACTGTTCTCCATATGTATGCAGATCAAAGATATTTTTTAATCGTTATACAGATCCAGTTAAATACCAGTCATGTTTTGGATTAACTGGTGACCCCAAAGCAGATCACACTTATTTGTGGCAAAAGTTCAAACATTATTCCTTTGCATCTTTCATGCTCGATTATCCTTGTGTTAGAATGATGGCTACCTTGTTTTGCTCATCTTTAGTCTAAAGGGCTCAAACACATGCAACTTCTCTGTCTACTTCCACCAAGCTGGATATGGCTTTAGAGGTAAGACAGTGTTGATAGCATTATGTACAAGTCAAAACATCAGAGATTGCAGCAAACCTTAAAGATAGCAATTCTACTCCTGCCTACCTCTGTCCAGATGCTCTTAGTTTTTCTCCTAGGTGTGACCTTCAATAGTGGATCAAAACACTGGATAAAATAGAACAACGCCAGAGGGATCTGGCTTGGTTGAGTGTCTCAAGATTCCAGCAACAAGCAGAAAAAATTGCATTAGAGATTTTATACTGAAAGCCCTAGTGATATTTGACAAGTAGTCTGAATAGCTCCTGGGAGGCTGGTCTCTAATGCCAAAACTTTGGAGTCAGGTCCTATAAAACAAGTATAGAGTTGGCATCCCAAATCACAAATGAGTTTGTTTATTTTGGAGATGTCCTCATATATTTTTAGATGATTTTTCTGCAAGAAAAATTAATATGGCTACCACTCTGGGAAGTTTACACTTTCCATCTTTGAATGATGTCATATATTGAAATCTACTAATAAGATAGAAGCCCCTCACATGCTGTGATACAATACAAATTACAACTATATTAGAAAGCAAAGACTTAAATGTAGGTAAAGGAAATGACTTGGCTGCAGATGATAGAACAATACATGAGACTGCCGCAGCAAAGATCACAGTTTAATTACCAACTTGCAAGATAACAAAAGAGCTTTTAAAAAAATGCACTAGTTTTCTTTTATTGTTGTTCTTTTCCTCAGTTGTTTACCTTACTACTGAGCTTTTCCTGGTTTTCAAAAATCAGATCATTGAAGAACTGGAGAAATTTTGGAGCTTTCTTTATATTATTTTTACTTTGAACCTGATCAATGCAATAACAAGTATTTTGCAGTACTGGTTCATCTGAATTATTTGGAAGTGAGGTGAAATCACCCAATCTGAAGTGACAACAAAAATGATGAAACAGTACACCAGTGAGCCATTGTTTAAAGGCAGTGTGAAGTGAGTAATTTAGGAAAAACTATAATATTAATTTAAGAAATATGATATTGTGATAGAAAGATACAAAACTGACAAGAACAATGCATGGAAATGCCTCCTAATTTTATTTTTTTTAAAAAACAAATCCCTATTGTATTTTAACTGCAGTTCTTTCTGTGTCCTGGTTCCTTGGGATATGGATGAATGGATTCAACACAGATGTTACAGTCCAGACAAAGGTTGTTTTTTGGGGTTGAGAAAACAGAGGCAAGCTAGAAACTAATACTATCAGAGAACAAGATTATCTCAATAAGTTAGAACTGCCAAGGGGAAGAGGCCCTGTGCCTCCTAGGTTTTAAAAGAACCTTGATAACAGTAGAGAATATGCCTTCATGGGAGATAATGATGATGGCTAAAGGCCCTCGTACCCTCCACCTCCTCCTCCCCCCACCTCAAAAAAACCATCCAGCAACTATGGAAATGTCATTCTGCTTGTTCTTATTTTCTTAAGAAAGCTCTCATCCTGCCAAGAAGTCTCACTATTGCTGACTTTACCTCCTGGTTCCTTAGTGTATAGATGAAGGGATTCAGCATTGGTATCACCACTGCATACAAGAGAGAGATAAAAGTGCCTTTTTGGGCTGAGTACGATGAAGGAGGCTGGAAATAAAGGCAGCTGATAGTGCTGTAGAACAAGATCACCACAGCCAGATGTGAGCCACAGGTAGAAACCGCTTTGCATTTCCCAGCTGTTGAGGGGATTTTCATGATTGTGGAGAATATTAGTGCATAGGAGATAATGATGACAGCTAAAGGCCCCAGCAAATCCATCACCCCTTCCGTCTGTACCAAGAACTTTATGTGCCTTGTATTAGAACAGGACAATTGCAGGAGAGGGTAGACATCACAGAAAAGATAAGGGATTTCCATAGAGGTGCAGAAAGAAAGGCGTGATATCAGAAGGGTATAGAGTAGAGAGTGGAGCCCGGAAACGATCCAGGATCCAGAAACCAAAAATAGGCAGCACTTGTGGCTCATCACAGTGAGGTAATGCAGTGGGTGACAGACAGCCACGTAGCGGTCATAAGCCATGCAGGCAAGGAGGAAGTTATCTGTGTTACCAGAGGTGAGAAAGAAATACATCTGGGTCAAGCATTCATTGAAGGCGATGGTCTGAGTCCGAGACATCAGATTTATCAGGATTTTGGGAATGGTAGTGGAAACAAAAAGGATGTCAGCCAGGGAGAGATGACTCAGGAAGAAGTACATCGGGGCCTGGAGGAGATGATTGTCTAAGTGGGTAAGCAAGACAATGAGAAAATTCCCTAGGAGGGCCAGCAAATAAATGGACAGAAAAAGCAGGAAGAAAAGGTTCTGATATTCAGGTCTACTGGAGATCATCAAAAGGGTTATTTCTGAGTTGTCTGTTTGGTTCTGGTTTGCCATTTCACAGCTGAAAAAGAATGAGAAAGAGATTAATATCTGATTTAACTATACATTTCCCTTTTATCTCTGGCAGGGGGCTATAGATGTACATGATAATTTTATTTCTAATGTAGGCCACAGCTTGGCTCTTTTCTTTCCTTTGGCCTTATTTACTTTTGGGGTGATATGGCAGTATGCATACAGACACACCCATTTATAGAAGCTTACAGCTACAGATTTTAAGCTAGTATATTCTTCCTTTTACACAATATGTCTCAATTGTCCACAAGTTTCCAAGCACGCCTATGAACATCACTACCTAATAACAGTGATTCACTGCATTTATTAATTGACAATTTCAGCAAATAAATTAAGCACTCTCTGGGTTTTAGATGTCGGCAATAGCTTGACTTTTATTTTAGTTGTTTTGGAAAATGTTGATGATGCACCAGACTTTCTGCAAGACAACCAAGCAGAATTGTTGAAAAGCTTGATCTAAAATCAACACAACTGTTCTTTTGACAAATATCATATACTGGGGTTAACAAATACTCCTTGGTTAACATTTATGGGACTCTGCATTGATCAGACCCACATCCTTGGACCAACATCAAATTCCTTCATTTGTATTGATCTATATGTCCCAAATGAATCTCTTTGGGCAACGGTTTCAGGTAGATTTATGCCAAATCCTTTCTAATATTCAATATATTTAATTTGAGAATGGTGTTTATGTTAGGATAAAAATATAACAAAGCTGTGTTTACTGGAGATGAAACAGATACCTCTGTCATTCTGGAGTCTAGTACCAGGATTGCTTTATCATCCTCTATATAGAATATGAGTCTGCCATTTTGATTTTTTTGTAAATAGATTCACAGTATTTTTGTTTTAGTTTTATCAATGAAATTATAGTCCAGTCTATATCTATAAGGTCAGGGGCTTTTACTTTTTTCCTTCAAATGCTGAAGTTAGTTGGTTGGCATACCTTATATCTGTTTGAAAGTTGTATATTTCAGATTTACTCTGAACAGATTTTTCCATTTATAGTGTTTTAAAATATCCCAGTGTTTCATACATTCATTCCTAAAAATGTTTCCCATTTCTTCATGTCTGATAAAAGAGAATTTCTTGAAATCATTTTTGCTGGGTTGCTTTTGCTGATTAAGATCTGGAAACATTTGCTGCTGAAGCAATATTAAATTTTACTGAGGACTGTATAGGATCTCATTTGCATTGCAGATTGTGGAATGTGATCTGTAATTATTACCATACCAGTATCTGTCAAAGATGATTTATGCTGTAAAAGAGATGAAACAAATCTGCCTACACATTTTATGAGCTTGTGAATCATATGTGCAACCATAATCACAACCAATTTTCCATCCCATCATTTCATTAAGTTGAACTTAAAGAACAATTTCTTAAGTTTACCATGTAGCTTCTTGGGTACTTTTCACTGGTCTAGAATTCTAATTTGGACCACCCTTCTCCCCAATAATTTCACATTCTGCAAGGTTTACGAGCTTTACAAAAATGATTGTAAACCTGAAATGTATATGATGTTTAGACCCATGGAAAAAATCCTTTAATAAAGATAAATCTGCTTTTTTATCTCCCAGATCTCCTCACTTTTAGAGGCTGTACAGCTATAAAAGATAACCAGATAACCTGTGATATACTGGGACCCCATTCTAGAGATATTTTCTGACCAAGTTGAATGCCATCAACAATGGTAGAGTTTCCAATATATGTGAAAAAAATATTTAACATTCACAGAGATATTCAGAAATGTTTCTGCCTTGAAAGCAGCCTATGTTGAACTGTATTGTATAGTCAATCATTAGCAATTGACCACAGGAAATGTTTTTTATGATATTTTGTATTATGTGATAAAATACTTTATGATACATTTTATCATAAATATTTTATAAAATTTGCCACAGTTTAATTCCATGGGAATCATGGGTCCTGGATTTTGGACATATTCTCTAAGTTAGCCATTTGAAGTTCTTGACTGGAAAAAAAATTGCCCTATGTTACTGTTATGTCCCTGGAACTTGCCAAAGTCCCCACCCAGGTCCGTTCATGCTGCGGGGGCGTTTGCTGTCCCTCATTGGCTGGCCTCCCTTGCCAGCCGGCTATAAAAGCCAGCTGCAGGGTCCGGCCAGCCGCTGATCGCTGTGAGCCTGCTCCAGGCAGGGCTAACACGTTCAGTCCTTTATTGCTCCAATAAAGTCTTGTTGCACCCAAGCCCTGGTCTAGCCTCTCATTGCTCAACTACAACACTGGCGACGAAGGTGGGATGGCTACCAGAGGCAATTGCAACAGCTGAAATCACTAAAACCGCTGAGCCGCAGCCGCGCCGCCGGAGAGCTCGGTCAGCAAGAGCGAAAGTAATAGCGTCTGTAGCCGCTTGTTAGCAAGCTACAGAGGAAAGTGAAGCGCTGCGAGCCGCAGCCGCTCAGCACAAAAAGAGCGCGAAATTCAAACGGCTGTCGTTTGGATTTCTTGCCGGAATACAGCGCGGTGCTGTTATTCCGAGCTACTGACACTTACGCAGGCGCGAAATTCAAAGCGCTATCAGAGGCGGCAAGCCATCACCGCCTACGCTCTCCAGGAGCGCGAATTTCAAAACGCTGGCAACAGCCGTTGCAGCTTAGCCCAATTGTAGCCCAGAGAGAGAGCAGAGAGGTCTGTGGAGCCTCTCCAGAGCTGTAGTCACTAGCCTGACAAAAAAGCACAAGTGCCATTTTGTTGTCCCAGAGAGATTTCTCAACAGCACATCACGCAGGAGTCCTCATCATGAACTCCAACCCAGCCTTCCCACCGTTCAAGCCGGAAGAAGAAAAATGGGAGTCATACAAAAATCGCTTTAACCACTACATCGACGCTATCGGTCTAGCTGATGCTGGGGAGCACAGAAAAAAGTCATTCTTCCTCAGTTATTGCGGGGCCATCGTTTTTGACACCGCCACAGCGCTCGTCGCTCCACGTGAGTTAAAGAATGTCCCCTGGACAGAATTGCTAGAGATTCTCACCAACCATTACTCCCCCAGACCCTCACAAATCGCGAGGCGTTTCACCTTCCGGATGAGGAAGCAAGCGGAAAAGGAAACCGTCAATCAATATATGGCTGCCTTGAGGACTGCAGCCCTCCACTGCGGGTTCGGGAACTATCTTGATGACATGCTCCTCGACCAGCTCGTCTGCGGGGTCAAAGACCTTCACCTCCAGAGGCGGCTACTCACCAGGAAGGACCTCAACCTATCCCAGGCCGTTGAGGAAGCCTTGGCAGCAGAGCTGGCAACCCAGTCCGCCACTGAAATTCAAAGCCCCGTTCCCAAACAAAGCTGCGCCACCGTTCATTCAGAAGAGGTAGTCAACGAAGACGACCCTAACGAGCAAACAGACATCCACCACCTCACCCATGCCAAACAACCACAGGCAGGAGCCAGGCAAGAAACCAACAGCGCACCCAAACACATCATCCTGTGCCTATCCTGTGGCGGACCTCACTCGAGAGCTACGTGCAAATTCAAGGGTGCCATCTGTAACCATTGCCACAAAAAAGGCCACATCGCTAGAGTCTGCCAGGCCGCGCACAACTCAGCACAAAAGGTTCCTTCTTTTTCCCATTCAGGGTCCCAAAGGCAAGTACTAAATTGTCACACTTGCTACCATGCTAACCACACCTGTCACTCTATTAGTAAAATAACACTCTCCATTTTGTTAGAAGGTAAACCTTGTCGTATGGAGGTTGACACGGGGTCAGCGCTCTCAATCATCTCTTGGAGCACCCTCAAGAGAATCCAGCCCAGGCTCTCCAGAAACCAGCTCCAGAAGTGCCAGATCTCCTTGAGGGATTATCAGGGAAAGGACATTCCAGTACTCGGCAAAGGCAAGTTCCTTGTTAATTTTAAAGCTTTCAAAGGCCACCTGCCTCTAGTGGTAGTTAACGGCAACCTTCCCAGTCTTCTGGGGCTTGATTGGTTCCCCTACCTCGGCCTAGGGTTAACAGGAGTCCATGCTGTCTCAGCTTCTGACACTGACTCCTTATTCAATGACTACTCAGACGTATTCAGCAATGAGTTAGGGTGTTATAAAGGTACCCCCATATCATTTGCAGTTGACCCCCAAGCGGTTCCAGTCCGGCTGAAACTGCGCAGAGTCCCATTCGCCATTCAGCCTAAACTAGATGCAGAACTTGATAAATTGTTAAAGCAAGGGGTCATTGAACCGACAGACTTCGCCAAATGGGAGACGCCCATTGTCACACCCCTTAAAAAGGATGGCAGCCTGAGAATTTGTTCAGATTACAAAACAACAATCAACCGCTTTCTACAAGTTAGCGCGTACCCAGTACCGGTCATTCAACATTTATTGCATACCTTTGAGCCTGGCAACATTTTGCCAAATTGGACATGTCACAAGCGTATCAACAGTTCCCTGTTGACAACCAAACAGCCGAACTGCAGACCATTGTGACCCACAGGGGTGCATTCCGGTGCAAGCGTCTCCAGTTTGGCGTAAGTGTTGCCCCGGGCATCTTCCAATCCCTCATGGAGCGTATACTACAGGGCCTCCCTGGTGTAGTACCCTATTTCGACGACATATTGGTCTCGGCCAGGGACAGACCCCAACTCTTCCAGAGAGTCAGAGCAGTGTTAGACAGGTTCAGACAGCATGGCCTCAAATTAAAAAAGGAAAAATGTGCCATTGCCACTAGACAGGTGGACTTTCTGGGCTATAAAATTGATGCCTCGGGCATTCACCCCCTAGAGTCCAAGGTCAAGGCAATTCATGAGGCACCCACGCCAACCACTAAAGCCGAGCTCCAAGCCTTTTTGGGATTATTGAACTTTTATGCATCATTTCTGCCTCACAAGGCATCAGTAGCAGAGCCCTTACACAGGCTCTTAGATAAAAAAGCACCTTGGCACTGGGGACACAAGGAAGACACCGCTTTTCGCGCAGTCAAATCACTGCTTACATCTGACGCGGTCCTTATTCAATTTGACCCACACC